AACAGGTTGCCAGTTCACCTTCAACATCCCTCTCAAACAGCCCTTTGGTCTGAGGCTTACAACTGAGAAACAACAACAACAGCCTCCAAAAGCCAAGGTTTAAGTGGTGCACGGGCAGAAAGGTGCGGACCACAGAACCACAGCTCCAGCTTCATCAGTTTCAAACAGACACTTCTTTTACTTTTACTAGAATGAGAAACACTTCCAAAAATAAGAAAAAAAAACAACAACTTTACAGACAGTCTGACTCTGACTCTTCGGCAGCAACAATCTGATTTTTTCCCATGATTCCTTAGCTGGTAAATAGCCTTTGGCTCTGCCCCGGGCCGAGACGTGTGTGTGTGTGTGTGTGTGTCTGTGTGCTGTCGATACCTGAGGCTCATTAGCATCTGTACCTCAAGTTTTAGAGGGGACTCACTCAGGACTTTTCACTTTACGGGCTTGTTTGTCTCTTTATTCGACACATTGATGGACTAGTGAACTGTCGCTGGTGTGGTACACCCTGAGTTTAAATATAAAGGATCAGTTTTTAGGTACAATCAGTTCAAATTTACGAGATTTTTTTATTTTAATTCTTTTAGGTTCTGCCTTTTGTGCCCTTTTATCTACTTAATGTTTTTATCTTTAGTACGCTGTAGTAATAACAGCAGTTCACATTGTCAGCAGGTTACCTTCTCTTGCCCTACAGCAGGAAGAGCACTGGTTCAGCCCCTGTGGTGTGGAGATTTTTTTTTGTTTCACTGAAATTTGAATTTCCTCCTGGTACATGTTTGTTTTTTTTTCCATTACTCCAGCTTCCTAGCAGAGATAAAAACTTAATTTAACTGTATTTTAACTGTAAACATAGGTAGAGGTGCTGCTCTATGATGTACTGCTGAGCCGCCCAGCGTGTAAATGACCCCTTCCCCCAGTATTGACCACTAGAAGATGAATGAATAGTACGGTTACTTTGAACAGTGTCGTTACCGTTGCCTTCTGAGCTAAGAGTGATGCTTTAGACTCCGTCACGTAACATTTTACATCAGGTCGTCAATACAACAAAGCCTTTTTGTGCATTCATTAAACTGGTTTAATATGAATAAATTGTTTTTTCAAGAATAATCCAGAATAAATGTCTCATATTTTATGAATTGGGAAGAATAATAAAAAACGTAAAGACAGTAAATCCATACCCCTACTATTACATGCGTGTGCCCAGCAGGGACTTTCAGCTCTGCTGCTGAGCAGAGACGGTTGCCGCGGCAGTTCACACATGAAGGATTTTAATAGCTCAACTGGTAATCAGGCTACCTTTCATTCATCACGCCCACCATCACAGAGCACTACACGATTAAAGCTGGTATTGTTTTGTCGCCAAAACACTATTAAACTGAGCTAATTTTTCCTTGACAGCTAATGGAAACCACTTCCAGTGATTGCCTACACTAATGGTGTATATCCTGGTGGAGCTGTGTAGATGTAATTCATACGTAGATCACACGGAGGCGTCATGTCTGGACTGATGAGTGGGGCCACTGCTCCGCAGAGAGAATCAACTGGATCTAATTTAATCCAATAACAGGTTGTTACGCTATTTAACAGCATTGTTGTAATCGGAATGCCTTGTTTTCAGTTGTTCTTTTAATGCTTTTAAGGTTGTTTTTTTAAATAGTTAATAAAACAGGGCTGCTCTGGAGCAGTGGGCAAAGACACCTCGTCTTCAAAACTGAAGGTTAGGCGTTTGAGTCTATGCACAGGAAGTCCTCGAGTTACGACATCTGTGTTGCATCATTCTGACGTACGGCATTTAAACGACAACAATGACTAGTTGACGAGCAGACGAAAACGTCATCGGATGGCGCAATTCGCAATTATTAGTCAGACTCTTCGGGGTTTTTTCTGTCTTAGATTATGATGTCACCGCTGTGTTAGCATAGGTGAGTGACATACGTAGGTACTAATGTCCAGTATGTGAATTCTGACCTACAGCAAAAAATCAAGTTGCGTCGCACCACAAGAACAGAGCTCCGACGCAAGGCTAGGACCTCCTGTACTAGAGTGAGTACTACGTCATATCTGATATACCAGAATCCTGTCTCAGGTACCACACCTCATGATTAATACATGTTCTCTCACTAAATTAATTAAACACACTGTTCTTTTTTATTGCAGCTATTGGTGATCAAACCGACATGTGATGATGAATTAGAAGTGTTGAGGCGATCCTTAAACTATGCATATTGAACAAATGGTAAAGATTAACCTTAATTAACCCTGCTGTACAACATCTAGCCGACAGTGTGTGGAAGAAACCGTGGCTCTCTCTTTGCTGACCCGCCCGTCGCAAAAACTGCAAGCAGTCCAATTTGAAATGAGATTACTCTTTAACTCAGCTCGGCGTGATCTTGATGGAACATTACTGGGATCACTGATTTATAAAGATCAGGATGAGGTCAGTAAATATGCATCATATTGACTGCAGCACGAGTCTTAAAAGAAACTTTAAAAATATCACACACATTTTCAAGACAAACACAGCGAGAGCAGCAGCTTTGAAGACTCTTAATGGCACTTCTGACAGATTTAGGTTGGCACAGTTATCCTGTTAAATCTTTCACCAAAACTCCACGGCAGTCAGCACTGATTAAAAAATAAAGATACATTTTATCTAGTTACTTGTTCTGTTGTGTGTGTGTTTAACTTTTTGGTTTTTGGGGATGGAATACAATTTCTTTTCGGGCCATTTCAGCAGGCTGCAGCAAATCATTTTTAAAAGTAGAGAGGTACAGCTAATAAATTGTAAGAATTCCTTCATACACAACGAGTAATATAAAATGAAGTTTGTCTGGAATTCAGTGAAATGTTTCATGTGATTTTGAGCTTGCAAAAAACCAATTCCATTGCTTTTGTATTTTCTTTTTACAATAATATCATTTTTCCCACTCTGTACTTCTACATCCAAACCAAGTGTTTATGACCAATAACATATTACAAGCTGTCTTCCATGCAGCCCAGGAAAAAGGATGAAACTGGTTTCTCCAGGCTTGGGAATAAACTCTACAGTATATGAATGTGAATTACTGTCAAACCAGGCAACCTGCATTTAATTTATAACCCAAAAACACTTTCCTGAGGAGTTCTTTGTCTCAAATGCTACATTGAGATCTTTCTTAGTAAAAACCTCTTTTCATTTCCTGTGAAATATTGTCAGATTCAGGGCAAACCTAGACCATAAAGTATTTGAAGCCTAGCAACGGCAACACCATCGCCTGCAGAGAGAGTCTGCAAAGCCACGTCACCTCAGATTACATCCATTTGCTACAAATGTCAGTTCTCTACCTGCCATTATCAAGTCCGAGGTTTTCACAAAAGGTACACATTAAATACATAGACAAGTACAATGGCGGAAATATTGTTTCAGTATCATATTAGTAGAACTTTGTGTTTTCAAAATACATGACCTAGCTTTTGTTTTTTTAACTGAAACCCCCCCCCAATTTCTTTTTAATATATAGTCTGCTGCTACAAATGCACCACAGATGATGGCTGATTTATCAGACACATTTATTTTATTATTATTTTTACAATGCGCTGTTTTTGTTTTATAAGATTTTAATCTCTCAGTAAGCACAACTGAAAATCGGCTCAGGTGTAGCTGCACTAGATACATTTAATTTAAATGAAAAACGTCACTGTTTTTGAAACAGAGAGAGAAAGAGAGAGCGAGAGAGAGAGAGAGAGAGAGAGAGACTTCCAACAGATGAAGTAGTTTTCTCTGTGGTTTGTAAAGACAGGACTCTGCCAACAAGAGTCCTGTCTTTACAAAGCTGACAAAGTTTGGAAGAGTCGTCCGGAAGATGTTGAAGGGAATGATTGAATTGTAATTAAATGTTGCTGTCCCTGAAACAACACTGGTGAAATACCATGTTCTTAGACAAAAAAAAAACATTTTTTTGTTACTCACCATAGTGAACCTGACAGTGAGACAGGCTTTATCACTTTTTATTGATTCGTGTGACTGATGTGTTTGTCCCAGAAGCATTGCCTACTTTTTTTTCCCCAACCCATCAAAAATTCTGTCCACTTTCATCACTGTCTGAAACCTTAATCCTGACAGCACTGAAATTGTGGCAGCATTTCAGTTGGGTTTACTTGTACTCAACTTTCCACACTGGATACACACTGGAATTTTTTTTTTTGCATGGCACAGTAACACACACTACTTTCACAACCTTGAGGAGGGTTAGGCTCCACAGTTTTGAAAAATTACTTTCCTGAAGGCATAAAAGAGGTAAAATAAACCTAGACTTTTGACTTCTAATGAAATACTGTATATACACAGAGCCTAGACTCATTTAAATGGTATTCAACAAATGCATATAAATCCTATGAAGGTCGAAACACATTGAATGGAATCTACTTAATCAGTAATAAAGTTCTGTAGGAGTTCAGAGCAACAGCTTTGAGGCTGAAAACAAAAGAAAAACACTAAAAGATAGGGTTTTCAAAATGTGAATCATGTTAATGAATCCATGAAGATTAATCAAATTAAATGTGTTGCATTAAAACACAAGCTGCAGAATGACGTAATCCACTGTCCACCCACGAGTAGACGCTCTAAGACACAGTTGATACACGTCAATACATGCTGGAACTGGTTTTTGTTTCACAAACCTTAACCTTAAAATCAAATTGTCTCAACGTTCAGTTCGTGGAGGCTTCAACTTCCGGTCGGAAGGCGATCTTGTGTCAGACTAGTCTCACCAATCAGGGCAAGGCAATATTTCCACAAGCCATTTATCTGTAGTTTATCTCAATTAAGCACTGTTAATCATGACTAATCAATTAATTGTAAAATAAA